GGTCAGGAAAGAGGGGTTGCTAGTCCGCGTCTGAAACTCTAGCAAAAAAAAGCCGGCGGTGTCTACCCCCGCGGGGATGGGAAGGAGGCGACCAAAGGAAGGGAAGGGCGTAGGAGGCGGGAAAAAGTGCGCAGAGGCCTTTCTGTCTTGAGCAAAGCCGTGTCAATCTCAATCATAGATGTGTGTAACGTTCCCGGTTCAAGAAAGGTTCGGTTCTTGCTTTGGCCGATTCTGAGCACCAGCTGTTATGCACAGGTTCGGTTCTACACGGTTTGGTCCCGGAGCGGTTCAAAGCGATTCGATTCTGAAAGGGCTTCGGTTGCGGTTCTTGATTCGGTTCTATGCCTCCCTGCTATGATGGCTTTGGTTTGTGGTGGTGGTGGTGGTGGTGGTGGTGGTGGCTTGACGATCCAGAGGCCAGCTCGCATCCCAGAGAAGAAACACAGCATCGAGCTAAGTGCACTGCCAACCCCGCTCCTGACCCACCTGTGGTGGAGTGGACCTGGCGTGATGCAAGCCACTTTCGTACGCGCCAAAAACAAAGAAGCAAAGAAACAACCAAGCAAACAAGGAAACACAGCCTGGCAGACATACACGCAAGGCAGGCTGGCCGGCAAGGAATCAAGGAAGCAAGGAAGCAAGGAAGCAAGGAAGCAAGGAAGCAAGGAAGCAAGGAAGCAAGGAAGCAAGGAAGCAAGGAAGCAAGGAAGCAAGGAAGCAAGGCAGCAAGGCGGCAAGGAAGCAAGGGAGCAAGGAAGCAAGGAAGCAAGGAAGCAAGGAAGCAAGGAAGCAAGGAAGCAAGGAAGCAAGGAAGCAAGGAAGCAAGGAAGCAAGGAAGCAAAGAAGGTGCTTAGCCAAGGAAGCTACAGCTAAAGGAAGGCGGAAGCTGCTGAAGCTAAGGAGTAAGGAGCAAGGATGGTATTATGATGAAGGGAGGAAGAAGACAAGGAGCAAGAGCAAGAGCTATGATAAGGGGATAAGGGGATAAGGAGCAAGGGGAGCAAGGGATAAGAGTGTGAGGAGGAGGAGGAAGAGGAGGAGGAGGAGGGAAGAGGGAGGGGAGAGGGGAGGGTGGCCAAGAAAGCAAATAAACAAGAAAGCAAGGAAGCAAGAAAGCAAGGAAGCAAGGAAGCAAGGAAGCAAGGAAGCAAGGAAGCAAGGAAGGAAGGAAGGAAGGAAGGAAGCAAGGAAGCAAGGAAGCAAGGAAGCATGGAAGCAAGAAAGCAAGGAAGCAAGGAAAGGAAGGAAGGAAGCAAGGAAGCAAGGAAGCAAGCAAGAAAGCAAGCAAGCAAGAAAGCAAGCAAGCCAGCAAGCAACGAACAAGACCCCCAAGTCAGCAAACGCATCCAATGCTGAGGAATGGTGAGAAGATACCAGGTGAAGCCCAAGGAACGGCATGCTGGTCTCCCTACTCTAGCCTCCTCAAGCTGGCTGTGTCTTTTAGTGTGCAACTGCAACGTAGCCTCACTGATTGTAAGAAAGCAACGGCAAGTGAAGCTGACGAGGCAACGCGCTTTTTTGAAGCCAGCTCTGGATGAGGCCAGCAATTTTCGACGGTAGCAGCAAGGGTCCCTATTGCCCTGGTTGCCGTTTACCCCTTGCCGCGTTTGTTTCTCCCGAGCGTGAATGAACCGGGCAACGTGGCAGCAATGCACCGCGTAGAAAGTTGTTGACAGACTCAACGGCACTATCAAACAAGCTTGCGGGCAGCAGGAAAGCAAACCAACCAACAAGCTTGCACCCATGCGGTCTTACCTATGGCAGCCTGCTGGCCGTGAAGCATGCGATCCATTGAGGGGGGCAACCACTTCAAACCAATTGGTTCTTGAGCTTCCCTGGGTGACAGCTGCACAACATGCATTTTTCGGGCTGGTTTGAAGCCCCTACAATTGTTCTAGCCGCTCGGAGATAACAACCCCGCCCGCTTCAAACGGTACCACTGCCACTGGTTTTCACACCTTTTTTCCACGGATGCTGCGTTGCCTCAGGGTTTACTTCCTGGCGTTTCCTGCCCCGGGCTCAGCCGCTGCGTGCATTGCCAACGAATCGACGAAGTTGCAGGTTGAGAGACGTATCTGAGACTGTGTTGGGTAAGCCCTGCATTCTTCATCTTGCAGGTTGCGACCGGTGGGGAATGACCGAGTCCGGGTGTTCAGAACGAACTGTTTGGGGATTCCCTTACAAGAAACCATAGGGGATGGTTTTTCTTGGGGTCATTCCACCTCATTCCCTGCTCTAAAACAAAAAGCAGCAAGTCATTCAGTTTTTCTCTTGGGCTTGCCGTCTTTGATATTTGTGACTTATTTGGGCTTGCAGGGTTGGAAGGCGAAGTGCAAGCCCTGGGCTGAACTTCAGGTCCTAGGGTGCATCCTTGTTGAATGCAACCTGTGTTGTCCAATGTCACGCGGTGCGGCATCCTTCAGAGCGGCGCTGAAAGTTGCAAAATGGCTAGGGCGCTGGGGACAAACTCGCTTTGGATATGTTTTGTTTGCTTTGGGGCATGTTGCTAAGTGGGGGGGGGGGTTCCCTGCTCGGGTGCGCGTGAATCTCGGAAGGGGCGGAACTAATGCTTCACCGGACTCTGTTTGCTGTTGAATCATGGGAGTTCAACGAAGGGTGAAGTGTCGCATGTCGCAGGCTGTTATGGGTTGCTCCTATCAACTCTTGCCTTAGCGGGTTGGTTTGTTGCTTGCTTGGCCAGGCTCCACTTTCGTTTGGGCAAACCCGCGCATTCGCAAAGGCTTCCGGGAAAACATGCGTCCCCCGCTGCATCGCTGAGGCCATTTTCCTGGCCTGAACCTCAGGAAGCGCAAGGAGTCGGCACTAGGCAATACCCACAGAAATTCGTAAATCAAACTAAGCATCACTTGGTGGCTCCCAGCTATTCGGTTCATGAGGTGTTTTTGTTTTTTAGGGGATGGGTAGTTTCCACTAAACCCGCCAAAACTTCAACTTGAGGGGATCTGAGGACAGGTCACCATGCATTCAGCATGCATTCCCAGGCCACCTGAGTCACCTGAGTCATTTGTGTATTTGCCCGTCCGGCAGGAGAGCTTTGCAACCCACGATGCCGGTTTCTTGGTTGGCGGCTTTCAAGCCGCGGGTGCCTCAAACATCCCTCGAGGGGCTACCTTACAAACTTCTGGCTCGGTTTGGGCCCTGGCCTGCAGACTTGTCAGTTCCACGCGTCCTTTTCTCAACCCCAGTGGGCCTCTATGACATGCTTCCTTCCCATCCTGGCGGGTTTTCTCGTGCGCGTTGGGAACTCCACGCTTGCAGGCACCCGCCGCTTGCTTCTGATGCAACGGCCTTCCCCTGCTGAGAAACCTCTCTCGCTGGAAGGTTTTGAATTTTTCTGCGGTTGGCTTGCAGGTGACCCAGCTCTTTGCGCCCTACCTGCAGCACTTTGTCATGACAATAGGCGGGTCCCGGTCGGAAGAGCTGCGTCCGGCTGGGCCTTTGCTGTGCTTCCTGGGCCCCTGGGCCCCTGGGCCCCATGCGCCACAAGTGCCTTGTCGAAAACTCCCTGGTGAGTGGGTGAACTTGCCAAAGGAGCTTTTGGGCCTAGATTCAAGCTTTCCCTTTAAAATAGTTTCTAACTCTGGTCCAAGGCTCGAAAGTTTGTCCGCTTTGGCCCGCCAGCTCCAAGGAGTTGAGGGAAAAAAACACATCCTGCTAAAGCCCCCAGCTGCCTGCCCCATGGGCTCCATACTGCAAGAGTTGGATGAGCAACCAGGTCACCAAGGAAGTGAGCCTTTGGAAGCCTAGTGATGTCAGACCGGAAGCGACTGGCGGATTTAGGTGAAATCACTGCGCAAGGGTCCCAGAACAGTTTCATGGGCGCGGCGAGTCCCGTTCATGTCAAGTGGCACCCCTTTTTGGATGGGCTTCGGAAAAGATAAGGACAGCCAAATCAGAGACCGCAGTGAATGGAGACCAAGATATGGCAATCCTTTTCTCAGCAGGCCAGATGGTGATGCAGACCGGCTTTAACCTTTGGCTCTCCTCGCTCTTCCTCACGCGGGGCGAGTACTTCAAGGTATGGCTCACCCGCGCAGCGGGAGAGGTTTCGGGCTTCGGCCCTCTGTCTGGTTGACAGTGATGGGGGTAGTAGATTTCCAAAACAATCCAACACGAGGTTCCCCAGCAGTGCACTTTTACCCTGTTTTGGGGGCTAAAGAAAGAAGGGCACCCTTATTCTAACCTCTCTACTGGAAGATCTGGAACATGAACCATGGTAATGGACCATTGTCCAAACATATTTTCAAAGTTGCCCTGTGGACGCTTCGGGGGCCGTGACTTGATTCTACATAGACTCGTCTGGTGGTGTTGTTCCGCAGTGCCGCGTGTGCGGAAGCCAAGTGCAGGACATGCTTGAGCACCGGACAGTCGAAGCAGGTCGGGGGAAAGTTACGCAATTTGCGTCTCTCTGTGTGTGTGTGTGTGCACGTGTGGGTGGGAGGGCCAGGCACTCGGCAAGAGGGTTTGGATGGCTCATGTGTGCGAGTGTGTTCCCAGTGTGTCAGTTTTTGGCATGCTCCACGCAGTTTGGCACCAGCATGTTGTCTTGTGGGTCAATTGTGTCCACTGGTTAAGCTTTGCGGGCGAATCTGCCCATTTCAGCCTTGTACCTCTTTTGCAGCATGTTTTCGTTTTCCGGGATGGCGCAGGCATGGTTGGCACTTGTGTGTAAGTCCTTTCTTGATGCCGTTCCAAGTGACGTTCTACCTCGACTCTTTGCCTTGCGCTTCGAAGCAGTGGGGACTGTAGGGATAGCCCACTAGAGGGAACGCCACAGACGTGAGGGGCTCGCTTCTAGGCACATGAAAATCCAATGGATCCCACAGCTTTTTGGCAAACAGCGGCTTGTTTGCCGCGGGGACAGGTTGGAGCCCTGCGTTTTGGCGTCAAGGAACGGGTTCGGCATATCAAATGACCGCGATCGCCCCACTTGTTCTTGCAATGTGCTGTGCTCAGTACCAAAGCGATTGAGCCTTAGGTCCTAGGTCCTGCAGTAGTGCCCCTTTTTGGGGAGGGTTCCCCCACTACAATAGAGTACAGAAAAAAATCGGGTACCCTTATTCTAACCTCTCTACTGGAGCTAGGGCCAGTTCAACGTAGCCAAGCGAAGCCTGTCTTTGACAGCCTCCCACATCTTCCGGCCACGCCGATTTCCGCGCCTCCCGCCGCCTTTTGGCACGCAGCTGGGAGTTTCTCCCAGGGGGGCCGGGCGCGCTGAGCCGGTGTCGGGCCCTCCCAAGTTGTGATGCGGCTGTGGTGGCACGGGGTGGGTTGGGTGGGGTTTTGAGGGGAGGGGGGGGGGGGAGGTGGGCACCGTGAGGTTCGCCTTGGTCAGCAATGCGCCACTTTGCTACCTTCAGGGGCGATTTTGGGTTGTGAGCCATCGCTGAATCTGTGGGTGGCGGGTTTCAGAGGGCTCCCAAGCGAACCGGACTGTGACGTTTGCGGATCCAGTCTCAGCTGGCTTTGGAAACAGCTTTTGCCTCCGCACAAGCCTCTTGCCCTGGCACCCCTCCTTTTAGTCGAACCTCGCGAGTTCGGCTGATTGATTCCTTTTCGAGTTCGGTCTTCCGCTAGGTGCCCTTTGACCAACTGTTTTTTGTTGGGAGATTCGGTTCCCCTACTAAAACAGACTACAGACAAAAATCGGGCTCCCTTCTTCTAACCTCTCAAAACTGGAGGACCTAGTTCTTTTGTTCCCCCTTTTGTGGGCGCGATCTTGCTCTCCCTCTCTCGCCCAGGTGGTAACGACGTGCGGGATCGCATGGAAGGCGCCGCGGGCACGCGGGCGAGCACTTTCCGAGTCCGGGCAAGGGCGTCGGTTTCGTTGCTGGGGCGCCGGGTAGGTTTTGCGTGTTTTAGTGACACAGGGCGCCAGTACCAACCGGTGCTACATGTTGCAAGGCATAAGTATGGGCGTAGGCACAGGTGCCAAGCAGCCAAGGCAAGAGCCGCTTACACAGTTGGCCGGCATCTGCGGACCTCACAACACTGGCAACATTCTGAGCATCCACCCGCATGGCCCTCCCCAGAGGAAACTGCGCAAGGGCTGGCTGCTTCCCTGCGCATCCCTCCCTTCCCGAAGCAAGCCAAGACCTCCCCGTATGCATTTCCAAGTGCCAGCTGGTCACATTGGTGTGCCTCAGAACCCTTGTGCTGGCAAGTGGGAAGCTGAACCGCAGATTTCAACGACCCCCAGATTTCACGCGCTACTTTTGCGTCAACTGCTTTTGATTTGAAATCAATTCGTACCACTTTGCGCGGCCAACCGCTGTGGGAGACTTTGCGTTCGGCACCAAACCAGCAGTTCCCCTGGTTTCTGCAGGCTTGTGGCTCTTTGTTTTTGCGACGTTTGGGTGATGCTCGCTCGAGGTCTCGCAAGGGTCTCTCGACCCACCACAGACCAAACCATCCCTTGCCCAGACCGACGCCAGGTTGCGATGGCGGCACCTGTGAGCTGGAACATACGCTGCAGTCCCTTTGGCTGCTCCTATGCACGTGCCTTGGTGCAAGTGGCCCGTGGCAACGCGAGAGAGAGAGAGAGAGAGATGGAGAAGGAGGGAGAGGGAGAGCGACAGATGGATGGATGGATGGATGGATGGACAGACAGACAGACAGACAGACAGACAGACCAGACAGACAGATAGATACGTAGACAGACAGATAGGTAGATGGATAGATAGCGAGCTAGATAAACAAGCAAACAGAGTTTTGAACTAGCGATGCATACTGTCGTTCCGAATCCGAAGGATTGACGAAGGTCGTTTTGTTTGTGTGTGTGTGCTTGTGTTTCTGTGCATGCGTTGCATGTGCTGGTCTCCCTATGTGTGTTTGGGGCTGCTTGGTTTGCGTGGGGAATGATGATTGCTTCATTTTCATGGGGGACACCAGTGCCCAGAATCCAGAGCGTTTTGCATGTGCTTGAAGAATCCCCGGATTTTGCCAGCTTTGTCCATGAAACCGGGTCTATTAACAGCTGGGTCAGGCAACGCATCTTCGGCTTCCCGTCGCCTCAGTTTATCTTTTTTGCTACTGGGGAGGTGCTGGGTCATGCAACGCATCTTGTGATATCTTGTGCGGCGTTTTGCGTGCTTCGCCTCAGTTTTTCGTTTTTGCTACTTGGTTTCCCAAAATTGGTTGTCAATTTTTGCTGCTTAGTTTTTTGCTACTTCGTTTTGCTACTTGGTTTTGTCCATTTTTGTGACCCGCAAAATTGGTCTCGAGCCCATTGCCTTGGTTCCAGTCGCATGCAGCCTCCTAGCCCTGGGAGGCTCTCGGGTCTCGGGTGTGGGACTTTGGAGTCACTTCGGGTCTTTCACCTTTGGTTTGTTGTGTCCTGTGTCGCTTTTGTCTCGTCTACTGTTCTTTAATTGTTGCCACTTTAGCCCATTCAATCCTTGGTGGTTCCCATCCGCTTCCTTCTTGTCTTGCCTGGCGGCGTCCTTTCTTTTAGTCTGCCTGGCGGTTTCGTTGGTTTCGTTGTGCTTTTAGGCTCCCCACCTCAAAAATCTCAGGGTCCGGCGCACGGCTGGGTCGCTCTCGACCCCAATCCGCGAGATTGAGGGCGCGCCGCTCGCTCAGTGAATCGGCAGGTTCCTGGTGGTGTCGATGCAGCTGGGCTTCGCGATGCTGGAGGTGGGCGGGGTGCGGGAGGCCCATCGCATGACCGTGCTCGCCAAGCGGCTCGGCGGCGGAAGGGAGCCGGAGGTGGAGCGGGGTCGAGCTGGCGCCCCGCGAGTGAGTTCCAAGCCGGTGAGGAGAATGGGGGCTGGTCCTTGCCAACTTTGGTGCAACGGTGAGAAAAGCTTCGTGGCAATGGCGCGATAGCCTAGGTTTAAGGACCTCTAAAAAACCCACTCACCAGATGTGAGCAACGCGCCAGCCATCCTGATAAATGAGGTGGTGGATGGGTTGGGGGGTTCTTGCTACCTGTTCATTTTGAACGTTCAACGGCCGAGGGAGCCACGGAAGCCATGATATCCACACGAAATAGTTCCGGATTTGGCTAGCTGTGCTTTGTCTCAACGTTATATGGAGAAACACGTGCTCAGGCATGTGTCTTGCAATCTTGGAATCGAATCAAATGGCACTGACCGCAACGCAACGCAAGCAACCTGAGAAGTACACTACCAACAGAGCGTGAACGCTACCTCTACAAATGGTCGCCGTGTAGGCTTGCCTGAATCTTCAGGAGTCCGGCGCCGTGTTCTGCCATGCCCATCTGATTAAGTTAAGGACGTTTTTTGGCGATGAAGTGATCCCGCCTCAGTATCAAGCTGGCAGCCGCAACTTTGTCTATCCACAAGAAGCGACTGAAATTGTTCATGAAAATAGTTTGGCGCAGCCTAGCTTGTTGAGAAACCCATGTCTGGTCAGTGTTTTGTAGTTTGTACGCTGGCTGGCTTGTAGCTTTTGTTGTCTTGTAGTTACCTGCAATGCTGCGGACTGGGCGACGTCTCCTCACCTGTTACCTGTGGGCCGCGTATGGCTCGCAAGGGTGCTTGTCTTGAGGAGGTTTACCTCTCAGAACAAACAGGGCCCCAAAAAGCCGAAATTTTCACCATAGAACGCGAAAGGGACAATTTGTCGAGGAGCTTCATGAGCGAGTTTTGTTTTCTGAGGAACGTCATGGACTCTGTGGTCAGCTGCTTGGCATTTGCGCTGGCCACCCAATGCATGAACCTCAGCCTTGTGCTGGACAATGGCGCCCAGTCGCACCAAGGCTGCAGACGTCCTGTCGAAGCCGTCGATCTGACGTGCAGCTTCAACCTTGCGGATTAAACAGATGCTCAGGCGAATTGCTTTCTCTTGGTTCCAGGTGCTGGTGGATGGTCTTTGAGTTCGATGCCGAAAGGCATTGTGAGTGTTGACGCTGTTGTGGCCCCAGTTGCTGGGTGCTAGCTGCCGTTTCGCCCCATGTTGGCACGACTGATGGGGTCATAGCAGCTCACTTGTTGGTAGGAGAGGCACCTAAGCCCTCCTACCAGATGTTGGAGCAACCCGCTTTCCCACTCTCAGAAGCATTGCAGTTGGAATTCTGGATGGGCTGCATCTAATTTGGGTGTTTCCTGAAGTCTGGAAGGTGCCATCCTGTGTGAAAAGCTCAACGTTTCCAGTCAACACCCATAGGAGGACAGCTTAGCCCCAACTTTCAGAAGCACTAGTGTGCATGTGGTTTGCTCACAATGTAAGAATGTGCGCGATAAGCTGTGGTGATATGGGCCGACGCAAATCCAGCTTCCAAATCTGACCAAGTTATTCCATATCAAGCACGGTTCCAAAACGCCCAAGGCGCGTTTGGAGTCAGTCCCATGGGTTTTCCAGCAGCAGGCAACTGGTGCGTATGAGCGTGCCAAGGTTCGAGCGCATGCTCTCCAATTGGGCCTTCTGCGCTACCTGCGCGACGTGCCTTTGGTTGCAACACGTAGGTCGCGTGCCCCTGTGAAGAAAGCTCACAAGATGGTGTTAGGTACAAGATAGGGTTCAAGTCCTCAAATTCGTCAAGCCCCCATCCCCATCCCCGTTCTGAGACCCGAGTTGAGCGACATGTCGCACAGCATGTGAGATTTGGCGAGTGTTCTCCCAGCCTTCGCTTCTTTTCTTTCAGAGGGCCGAGCCTCCCATCATGGTTTCTTTCCTTTGCGCCGATGATGTGCCAGCCAAGCTGCGCTACCCTCCGCAAAATGAGGTGAATTGGAGCCTAAGCACCAAGTCACCGAGCAATTTCGGCGCCATTCGGGCACATCACACTGGCATGGGGTAGCGTGTGATGATTTGCCGTCCTCCGCCCGGAACTCGAAGCAGATTTTGGGTTTGGAGCTTCAGGGCACCAACAAAGATTTTTTTCCGCGTGGGGCGATATCTGTTCGACACCCTACACGGCAGAACCAGGCCCAATAAAGGGCATGCCCCAGATTTGTCCGGGTCTTTGACATGCCATGTTGAGGTCCACGCTAAAGTCTGTAGGCGGTCATGACCTTCCCTTGAGGGATGTGACTTTGGAGCTTCCCGGCACCTTGTCGCACTTCCATGGGCAGGGCGCAAAGGAGATCAACCATTTGGAAGGCCTCCACTTTTTGGAGTGCGCTTCTTCTTTGCAGCGCACGTTTTCCCGTTTTTGGAGGGAGCCATGTTGTTTCGACGCATGCAGTTTTCTGTTCTACATCCCTGCGACTTCTCCCGTCTGCGCCGGGCAGCGGAGAGCATCAGATGCGAGCGGGCTCAGGATCGTCTCCGGGGCCATGGCAGAGCGGGCGCACATGCTGGCAGCCCGGCGCCGGGAGTGACTGGCCATGGCCCTTGCCCCAAAAATCCACGGGGGGGTGCCCTACCAGAGGTGTAGCTGCCGTGTAGCACTTGCCCCCCAAATTCGCACCGGGGGGGGCGCCCTGCCAGAGAGTAATTCGTGGAGCTTTCGGGGGGGTACATGGCCAAGGGGCAATATTGAGATGGGCACTTGAAGAAAGGGGGTGACTTGCGGGGTCCCAGCTTGCCGGGTTTCTTGCAATGAGCGCAGCCAATGTGCAGTTTCAGTTGGGTCTCGGCACCCTGGCGCGTGCGGCCGGGCTGTGTTTTCAACGGCCCACCTAGGCGGGGGCATGACTCATCTAATCGGGCAACCTGCAAGCCGGCGGCCACTTCACAGAGGTTGATTTGAAACGCAAAATTTAGTTGTCCGGCTCGGGTGATTGACTGTGGAGCATTTTGCGGGGCTGAGTTAGACTGTAGTCTAAAAGGCGTGAAAAGCATTCCACGGCCAACTCCACAATGGCTGTCAGCCAGGCAAAAAGTGTGGTCAGTGCTGAGGCTCAGTTCTTGTTCTTGTTCGCTGAGCTCCTTCCAGTCAAACTCACTGTACAAGACACACACACACAGAGATGAGTCATCATGCCACCGCCTTGCATAGCAGTGGTCAGTGCTGAGGCTCAGTTCTTGTTCTTGTTCGCTGAGCTCCTTCCAGTCAAACTCACTGTGCATGTCTTGGGGACTTCTCAGATGGTGGTGTCGCCCTCGAGGACCGCGCGCGGGGCATGTTTCAAAAGGCCGGTAGCTGCCACGTCTCGAGGCATACCTCGTCCATGCCGCGGCAACTTGGCGAAGCGGGCTTGCGATTTGGGCTTACCGTTTTGGGGTAGGTGCACCACCAATTTTAGATCCTATTTTTAGTGGGGATTGGGATGTTCACGGGGGGGCAACCGGGCTTTTGACCCATGGCCTTTGTGGCATTTTTCGGATACCCCCCATTCGGGCTGATCGGGCTGATCGACCTTGAGGAGGCGTACGTCGATCCAAGCTGTCGGTCTTCAACTAGGTCCTCCAGCTAGGTGCCCTTTTACCAACTTTTTTTGGGGGAGGGTTGCCCTACTAAAATATACTACCAAAAAGAAGGTACCCATGGTACCTTATACTGGAGGACCTAGTCAATGGTTTGTATAGCACGTGGTTGGCCTAATTCGCACTGCGATGCCTCGATTTGGCCAGACAGACAAGGGCTCAGCGGCTCAGCCTCACTGGCGGTTTCGATGAGGAGCTTTTTCCGGGTGTTGGGACTGAACCGTTCGGGGATTCCTGTAAAGGAAGCCAAATCGATTTGGGATGGGTTTTTCTTGGTCGTGCTTTAGCTGAGTCATTGACACGTCACGGCAATTGCCCCGTTTCCAACACACGATGTTCCGAGGTGATGTCCAGTCTCACGTACCCGCCCTTGGCAGAAGCCGTTTGGGGCACCACTGGCTTCTTTCTGCACGGGCAGATGCCGCTCGGCAGAGCTCCAGGCTGCTCGATTTCTGCTTGGGGGGGGCTGGGGGCTGGGGGCTCGCCATGGGGCGCTCGCAATTGGGTTGTTGTGGTGCTCCGGGGAATGTTTTGCCTAGGGTGAGTCGGCTTTGCATATTGCCGCACTCAGCGTGGCATTTGAATTTGTGGGCCTCGTTGGGCTTTGAAGTGATTTCGGGGGGGGGGGGGCTGCGGCTTCCTTCGGTCTCGGGAGGAGTTCTGGCACCCGCAGGGGCAAATGTTGGGCTTGGGTTGAAGGGCGTTCAGCAGCTTGCCGCTCATGCCCCCTGCAAGGACTGGTTTTACTGGGTGTCAAGGCTTAGTGCTTTGACTTTGAGCAACCCCGACTTGACATTGTGAATGGTCAGCTTTCGGAGGGAAGTGGAAGCCTGCCAAATTCTGCTGCAAGTGCTTCTTTATTTTTTGCTCATATAGGTTTCATGGTGTGCCCCCCCCCGGAAAGTCCAACACCACCCAACACAAAGCAGCCAAAGCACCCAAGATCTCCACCTGGTCTAAGGCACGGCAGGTTCCGGCCTGGGACCGACTACCACGACTGCGCAGGAAGCGGCGTGGCCAGTGGCCCCAGGAAGACGAGGGCCAGCGCCACGGGTCGTCTTCTAGGAGCCCCAGCCAGGTGCCCTTTCTCACCTTTTTTTGGTTGGTTTTGGGTTTCCCTACTACAATAGACTACAGAACAAAAGTTTGTTTTGGTTGGGAGGGGAATTCCCCTACTAAAATAGATTACGGAAAAAAGTTGGCACCCTTATCCTAAGCTCTCAAATCTTTCTGGGCCTAGCCTTGGTTTCAGCCATCCATGGGATCCTCTGCCCCTCGCCCCAAGTACCCAAGTAAGATCTCCTCTGGAGCTAAGACTGGGGGAGGGTTTGAGCTGGGATCCCACAAAAAAGCACAGGGGTCTCGCTGTGGGAATGTGGACCTTCCATAAACATGTCGTAGCACAAGAGAAAGGTCTTCCCGGCAGTGCATTTTTCTCGTTCGGTGGCGCAGGCTGCCAAATATCATTGACTACAATCGGCCATGCCACTCGAACTGGATGTCCCTCCTTTTTGCGGAGTTCCGGCAGCAAGTTGTTTTTGAATTTCAAGTCCTACCTAAACCTTTGAGCCCTACAACCTTCCGCGGGCAAACTCCCTTCTTGGAGCACACACCGCAGGCTCATGACAACAGACATTCACAGAGCGGATAGGGAGCTCATTCGCTGATTCGCTACTTGTTGAGCCTGGCTCAGCCTGGGCCACTGGACGGCAACGTCAGGGCTTCGCTTGCGCCAGGATCAAGCCGTTCAGCGGTGACAGCACGGTGCCAGCGCCAGCAGGGCATCAGATCAACAACAAAACCACCCGAAACCATGAACCACACATATACAAGCATACATATATATTTATATATATATATATATACACATGACAAATAAGTACATATATATATATATATGTTTATATATGTATATCCATACAGACACACACACACACACCAGATTTTGGGTTTAAGACATCGCGAGATAAGTCGATCCGCGTCCGAAGTGACTCTCTCTGGCGCCATGGCCAAAGAGTCGGTTCAGCTGCTGGGGCTGGCAGGAGATCTGGCCGCCGCCTTAGTCAGTCGCCTTGCGAAGGGCTGGCTGTGGGAAATGGATTCCACTTCTGGACCTTTTTTTTGCCTTCGGGAAACTGAGGAGTCCCCTGTGGTGGGGTTAGTGCAAGCATGGGGCAGGTATTCGGTACACATTTGGCAACAAGGCCACAAGGTGGAAGTCGTGGCCGCGTTGTTCATGCCCTAGGAAGCACCTTGACTTCTTTGTTTCTTGCTCTTGTTGGGCAAGTCACGAACCTCTCTGGAGGCAGGCTTCAAACACCTCGACCCAGTGGCATTCTGTAAGTGAGATGTTAAGGCGGTTCAATGTGCGCACGGCCGAGTGCAACCTCGCTTGGGAAATCCACGGTGTGTGCCGATGCCGAGGCCGGGCTCCTGTCCTTGCTTCCCCTGCTTTCGGAGGCGCGACCCGCCGCAAGCCGCTCAGTTCCCCCAGTTCCAAGCTGGGCAGATGTTCGGCCCAGGGATTGCCACAGCTTGTCTTCCAGCAGCTTCGCAACTTGAAAAATCCACAGACAGGGGGTCACTGGATTTGATAAGTTTCCCCTTCAGAGGTTGCAATTTGCTGGTGGTGTCCATTGAAACGATCGAATTCCACTTTTGGAGTTCCCGACGCACGGGCGCGGGGGGGTGGGACTTTGGGACCCTGCGAGGCCAAGTTTGGGCACCTGCTGCGGGCCAAGGAGTCGAAGGAGTCGAAGGAAGGCGGGGGTTTCGTGTGAGGCGATGCTAGGGGCAAACACCTGGCCACCTGTCGCGTGGGGTAGGAGTTTGAGCTGATGGGTTGACCGAAGAATGCAAATGGACATGATGATTTTAAGGGAGAGCGGTGGTTTTTCCAATGCTCGCTCTCAGCCAAATTTGCACCACCATGTTATTCCCCACTTTTTTGTGAGTTTTTTGTGAGTTTCCCCATGATGTGTGAAGAGAAGGAGCCAGGCCTAAATGCTGGGGCCTTGACCTTGGATTTGGCCCGCTTTAAGCGGCCGTTCCTGCAGCAAGTCAGATGGCTCACTGGGCTTCCGGCTTTGCCAGCGAAAATCCCGGAAGTTGGCACTGACACGCACTGACCAAAGGCTTGCGGACATCCAACCTGTGCCCTTTTCACGGGGTTGAGAAGTTCGACGCGCCAACATTTCCTGATTTGTTGGTTTACCACTTTTGGATAGTTTGTTTGGTCGATTGGTTCAAGAAGCAGAAGCGCTTGTCAGCTTTCCACTCTCTCTCCCTCGCTTTTCATGGCTACTGACACAGCTTTCTTTCCCATGCTGATTCCCATTCCCAGGAATAGGAAAGAACACTTTTAGACTTGGTGCCCACTTTTCGGGTGCGCCGTTGGAAGGACAAAACCAAACCACCAACTTCAGGGGTTAATATGTTTGCTAGTTGGGGGAGGTGGTTCCATGGATCCTTGGTCATTCTGCTAAGCCACACCTGGAGCAGGTTGCAAGAGAGAAATGCGGTGGCCACATCCCCACCGCCTTAAATATGGAATTGGGGGAGGGGCGGCCGCTTGGGATCTCCATTTGTGGTAACTCATTTCCTTTTATGGGGACCAGATAGACCAGAAGGCAGAACCCAAAATCGACCCAAGCCACTCCCCGGGCGAAAAGAAGCCGGAATGTCATAGGTCGACTCTGTTGTTTTTCGTTGGCTTTTTCCCGCAACAGCTGAAAGGCTTCGGGATCTCAGCCCTGAGGTTCCACAGAGTTCCGCCAGGGTTGCACCAGGGTTCCGCACGAGGTCCTGAGAAGGGCTGTGGTCCCTGAGGTGAGGGCTATGGGAAGGCCGTAAGGTTCCACAGGCTTCCACAGGGTTTCCGCACAAAAAAATCCGTGAGGGGCGGCTCTGAGGTTAGGTTCCACAGAGTTCCACAGGGGCAAAGGATCCACGAGGGTTCCACGAGAACTAGGCGGTGGACAATGTGTCCATTTCGCCTGACAGGAAGACCCACAAAGGTCTGGGGAAAGGAAGCCATGAAAACCAGGATTTGCCCAAAGCCACAAGGCCGCCTTTCAGCAAGGCGGCATAAGCAAAACCGGCGGTGAGCCATGGCTAGTGGTTTGGAGTTCCCCGGGCGGGCGCTCGGGCCGATTGCGCCGGCGAGAGTTCTTGCAAAGGCTCCGGGAAGCTTCTGGGGTGGTCCAGGGCCGGCTCCGTGAGGGTTCTGCGAGGGTGCTTGGGGATATCGCCTGAGCTGTTTTTTGTCAATGTGTTTACCTGCAAACGGGCACAGGCCCCTTTGCAGCCCCTTCTGGGCGAACATGGGGTAATTTTATATTAGCACCACACGGACTTCCCGCGGGGTGGCAAACGAACGGCCCGACATACAACTCATCCAGGTGCCGTGCAGCGAGTGCCGCCGACCTGGGCGCTGTTGCTGCTGTTGGCGCCTGGCAATTTGAGGAAAGGCGTAAGCTTTGGCGGTGCTTCTGGGAACAGGGACGTTTTGTTTAGTGTTGACGTTGTTTGCTACCTTGGCATGTTTGTCGTCTTTGTTTGAATGTTTGTTTGTTTGTTGGTTGGTTGCCTGGTTGTTTGGTTTGTTCATCGTTGCTTTCTACCTGGTGTTTTTGACTCTCAGCTTGATCTTGGCGACCCAAAATCACACGAAAGGAAAGGGAAGAACGGAGAAAGTAGAAGCAGGGTGGGTGCGCCCATGTCGCATATAAGCAGAGACATTCCGGCTGGGTGGGTCGCGAATGGCCGCTAGCTTTGATACAAAACCATGGGGAGACCATTGTTCGTTGGTTTTTATACGGGAATCATCATTCCAGGGTTTTTTAGGTGGTGCAGGATTTATCCACAGCACGTGTCATGTTCAAAAAAACCTTGCTATTTTGGGGCCAGAGGGGCGTGGCCACTGTGCCCCTCCCAGTCTTTTAGGTATCGTGTGCGAAGCAAAAGGCTCTCGAGTGAGCAGTTTTCTTTAAAAGATCACTTGTTTTTTCACCCTCCCTCGGTGTGCCCAACGTTCTTGAGGCTTTACTCAAACGGATATCCCTTGGACAGCCTGGGCCTGGGGGACCCCCCCCCCCCCAAAAAAAAAAAAAACGCGGGCAAGCCGAGGCGGCGGAGTGTTGGCCATCTCCCTTCTTCTACGCCTCAGACAAGAAGGCGCCGGCCTGGCAAAGGGATGCCAAAAGTTGCGTCGGGTTTGTTGCGTGGTTTCTCTGCAAGCAAGGGATGGCGATCTCGGACTTAGAGGGAGCGCTTCCAAGCTGTGCCCAATACAAGGTGTCGCTGGCAGCGCGCGCATGCAGATCACCAAAGACTGCGGAACTGCATGGCACAAAGCACACCTAAACGGCCCATGGCCCATGACAGTTCGACGTCAGGCCAATAGATCCATAGGGCTGGTTTGCAAGGGAGACTAACTGGAGATAACCGTGCAGAGGGAGGGGAGGTTCCCATTTTGGGAAAAGCAACGTTCTTCAGTGGAACTCCAAAACGGGTGGCTTCCGCTTGGGGACCGCTCGCCCTCTAGGCCCGCCGGGCGATCGGCGAGGTGGTGCGGGCACAGCGGAACGCCTGGAAGCCCAAGAAGTGGACTTGCAAGCGAGCGAGTGGGGAGCCATCGGTTGCCACGCCTGGGTGGGGACTTCTGACGGGTGTTGTTTGGGGTTGTCCCTCCAGGAAAATGGTCGAAATACAAGGGTAGACCATTGAAGCGATTGAAGCGTGTTTTTGGGTTGTCCCTTTCCCCGAGATTTGCAAACAAAAACAATCGGTAGAACGAATCCAGGATTGACCTTGAACGAGAAAGCCTGACTAGAAAGATAGGAGAGGTTGACACCGAGGATGAGGGGTTCTGCGCGGCAATCTCAGCATGTAGCGGGAGCCAATGTTTTTTCTACACCACCTGACCACCAAAGATCTGCCATATCCAGCCATGCTTATTCTGTACCTTCCTCCCTAGTAGTTGTTCGATCAAGGCACTGACATCTTTGGGCATCAAGGGCTCATGTCGACAGAATTCGTTGGATCGGAATGGTGGAGCCACAGCTGGCTGAGTTGGCTGGCAAGATGTTTACTTTTTGCAAAGTAAGCTTTGCTTAACTCATGCAAACTGGCGCATGCAATCGGAGGCTTGCAAACTGATGGCCCCATGATGGGCCCTTCTGGGAACGCAGCATGTAATTTCATCTGCGGCACGCAATTTCATCTGCGATTTCATCTGCGCCACGCCCCGAACAAAAGGCAAACTTTTTTTTGGCACCCTCTGCTCCTTTGGGAATCAGCAGTATCAGCGGCCACAGTGGCCACAGTGTGCCCAGTGCCCGCAGTCTACCGGCCACATCTGTTCTTGCAAACCCTCACCAGAGACTTGCTAGTCAAAGAATCTTGCTTGTGCCCTCGGCATGAACGCCCTCAAGTAGCGTGGCCCACTGGACACTGTGCTGATAAATGCGCAGGGTTTATTCAGGAACAAAAAGGGGGCACTGGCCTCGTTCCTTGAAGGGGAAACCTCCCACATGAGAGGCTTGACGCGGGCAAGGGGAGCCAGTGCTGGGAATACGACTTGGTCAGTTGTTGTCTTTTTACATCATCTACCCCTCCCTCCAGTTCCCGCCTCTCCCAAGCCGCCTTAGGCAAGCAGTGGCTTCGAGGCGACCATCAGCAACATGGTCAAGTTGCTGGAGAATCAGGATGTCTACGTGCCTTGGATCAGAGATGGGTTCACTGGCCCCAAAGCAGAAAGAAAAAAGCAAAACAAAACACTCAAAAAAAAAGCCAAAACAGGAGCCACGCATGGCAGGTGCGGCAGTCCCAAATCACGCCCAGCTCAAATGGCTCGGCCGCAGCGCAAAGGGACAATATTTATGCTTCTCAGCTGTCCAGTGGTACCCTTTTTCCTTTTTTTTGGGGGGGGTGGCTGCCCCACTAAACATGGTCTTCCCCAAGAAGGGTTCCCTTTTTTTCCAGGGTCACTGAACAACTGAGGCTTCAAACTGTTCGAAAGCGGATCTTTGGACCTTAACTTGCTGGTTGAAACAGGTGCTTTTCTGAATTGGACCCACAACGAGTGCTCAACGTTTTGCAGAGGGGTCGTTACAGCAGCTAAGATACAAGCTTTGGAGGGGATCTGATTGCCCAAGATTCTCTTGTGATCTGCCACGGGCTTCGGGCTGGGACAGAGTGCCCACAGCCTGCTGTGGGTGTTTGAGCGGCGAGTGTGCGGACAGGGCCGAAAGACCAACACAAATCCAGCAAACCATGTGAGAAGCAACGCGAAGCCAAGAATAGTTAGGGTGCACATCCGGAGAACGGAAACAGACGCTGGAAGAACTGCCGGTTCTCAGGGAATGAGAAGTGGACGGACCCCAAGAAACAAAGCGCCATCCATCCGCAAGCTTTCCATAGAATTCGGGAATCCCAGAAATGGCTCCTTCCCAAGAATGTCCAGGCTCGTTGTCTTGCTGGTGCTCAATAGGGAATGTGGGAATGAACCCAGGCTTTGGTCTCCTGAAAGGAAACCACCAGTGGGATGTTTTTGTTGTTTTTTTAATGGGGGGGTTATCCCATGTCCCACACAAATTCCCGGACTCACAAGAATCGGCAGTCCCCAACTGGTTGCTTCCCACCAATTCCCGGCCGCGGGTTCTCGGTGTCCTTCCCTCGAAACCCACCGCAGCCCGCAGCCCTCAGCCCGCGTCGCCGCGTCGACGCGAGGAGCTGACGCGGCTGGTGGCCATGTGCGGCGGGCTCTTGGGCATCTGCTTGGTGAGCTTCAGCTCCGGCAAGGTCGGGTTAGCCGCGGGGCCCCGGGCGGGTTTTCGGGGGGTTTTTGGGGGGGGTGCGTGGGAGCGGGGGGTGGGGGTGGAGGTTGGTTTGTCCGCGTGCATCCGGAAAGGCGGGGGAAGCACCGAGGGTTTTTGGCAGCTCAGGAAGGTCCTGTGAATTGGGGAGATCCCAATTCTGAGCTGGGTTTGGGGTAGCATGTTGGTTTGTTGGATGCCTCTGATCCGATGCGGTCGCTTCTTTTTTGTATTGCTACTCGTTAAGTTGTTCTTTTGATCCCTCTGGGGCTGCCGCTGCTGATGCTTTGTGTTTGTTTCTTTCAACGCTTCCGTTTGCTTGCCTGAGCTCCCTTTGTGCCCGCTGCGTCCTGATTCTTGTTTCAATTCCTCCTGCCCTTTGCATTTCCCATGTTCCCGTGGTACGTTCGTTCTTTTCGCCTTTGGTGATTCCATTGGTTGAATGCGCCCACCAAAGCCAGCAGTCTTGTATGTTGGCTGCGTGCGTGGTCAGCCAATTACTTCCAGATTAACGTCCAACTCCCTTGGGCCGAATGGCGAGATGTCAACAAGCATCTTGCAGACAGCGGCCCATTCATGTTATTCCATGTCATTTCCCCTTTTGACAACATCCTCAAAACTTGGTGACTTTTATTGTGTTTATTGGTGGGGTGTCCGAATCTAACCCACTAAAAGTAAGTTAAGCTTCTACCCGGGGACCAGAAAACGGGCAGCCTGTGCCCAGCCTTTCCGGCCCACCAGCTCCATGCGATTTATTTGTGACTGGCAGAAAAAGTTACTTAGATTATACATATTATAAAGGCATTTTAGGGACGTGTTTCAATAATTGTTCTATTAGTGTGCCCTTCTAAGAGCCCGTCTGAATTCTCAGACCCCAATGGCGGGGGCTAGGGGGCTCATGATTTCCATCCCATAAATCGTTGTTCCCCTCCAAAAGTGATGATTCCCCACTACCAGACAGAAGCACCCTACTGATAAACAGGGGTTTCTTTTTTTCTGGGGCCAAGGCGGGGGCTGATGTCCACCCCCCCCCCCCTCAGGGCCTGCTGGGTCTGCCCAGCCCCCGAGACTTGGGGCGCCTGGTGCCCTCGCCGCGGCGGGCGGCGCAGCTGCTGCTGCTGGCGCTCTTCGTGTGCGGCACCTGGACGCAGCTGGGGAAGCTGCTGCGCAAGCCGCAGGCCGGGGGGGGGGGGGGGGAATGCGCTTTTTTCCCTTCGTTGGGCTAAGCTGATGATTTGAGACTTTGACATAGTTGGACATGAGCGTAGCGCAAGGGTGCCTTTCTGTTCCGCTGTGTGGATGGTCTGGTTTGTTTTCATATTTGGTTCGCAGCGAGCCAGGCTCCTATAAGCAGAGGGGGCGAGAGAGAGAGAGAGAGAGAGAGAGAGAGAGAGAGAGAGAGAGAGAGAGAGAGAGAGAGAGAGAGAGAGAGAGGGAGAGAAGCCACAAACTGGAAGTTGAGGTTCCTGGAGTTCAATTGGGACCTTTCCAACTGCTTTGCGTATTGCCTTCTAATCTCCAAAGAATTCTTGGTGGCTCCCAGCCATCCGGCTCCTTGGCTTTTTCGCCTTTTCGTGCTTCACGAGTTTAACCCACTCAAAGTAAGTCGCTCTTTGCAACCTTTCACCCTTCAACTTTGGAGCCTTCAATCCTGAAAAAGGTGTACGTCAAGGAAACCTCAAGGCTTGAATCTCTACAAATTAGGGCGGTGATTCCAGTGTCTAAGGCTGTCCGTACCATGGCGATGCTGCTGCCCTGGCTACTTATGGCATGGCTGGCTTGTTGGGGCTGGGCGGGAGGCGGAAGGGAGAAGGGACGGGGACATTGGGAGGGAGGGGGCCCACAAGGGGCGGTTTTTGGAGGTTCATCCTCCAGTCACTGTTGAGACGTTTATTTCATTTGGTTTGTGTTTGGAGGGGCTGTCAGTTGTTTTCGTTTTCTTTTTTCTTTCTTTTTTGTTTTTTTTTTTTTCTGCTTTGGCTTCTTGGCTTCTGGCTTCTGGCTTTTGGCTTGGCTTCTTGGTTTCTCGGCTTCTCGCTTGAGCTTCTGGCTTTGCTGGATGGCTTCCTGGCTCTGGCTGTCTCGGCTTCTCGGCTTGGCTTTGGCTTCTTGGCTTCTTGGCTTCTTGGCTTTCAGCTTCTTGGCTTCTTGGCTTTTTGGCTTCTCGGCTTTTGGGCTTCTCGGCTTTTTGCTGGTTTATGCGGCTTTTGGTGGCTTTTTGGCTTTTCGCATCCTCTGCATTCCCAGTTCCTCTTCGGCAGGTGGCATTTTTCCGACATCATGGGGGGGGCTGCCGCCCCCCCCAACCCCCCCGCTACGTTTTAGATTTTCTGCAGAGATTTAATTAGTTGCACCCTAGTTGAATCATCAATTCTTCGAACATCATGGGGGGGTTGCACCCCTAGTTGAATCATCAATTCTTCTTGAACATCATGGGGGTTGGGTTGAATCATCAATTCTTCGACCATGGGCTGCCGCCCCCCCCAACCCCCCCGCTACTTTTTAGACTTTTTGCAGAGATTTAATTGCACCCCTATTCAAATCATCACTTCTGGGATTGACATGCCCTCCTACTTGAATCATCATTTCTTTGACCCCGTCACACGATTTGTGGGTGATGCTAGGGATGTTGGTGGGACATGCGGGGGATGTTGACGGGCTAGTGTAAAATGTGTCAATTTCGCGAGAACATGCTACACTTTACTGGCCCAGCAGAGATTGAATTGCACCCCTGTTTGAATTATCACTTTTTCGAGCGTCCAATTTCGCGAGAAAATGCTGCAAAATACGACATTTGAGGTAATCTGTGTAGTCCGTGTATGTCTGTATGTATGCATTTCTTCGAACATCATAGGGGAAGCCACCCCCACCAACCCTCCCGCTGCCTTTTAAATTCTATCACACCCTTTCTTGAATCATTGCACCCCTACTTGAATCACCACTTCTTCCGACATCATGGGGGGGCTGCCGCCCCCCCCAACTCCCCGCCGTTTTAGATTTTCTCTACTAATTAATTGCACCCCTAATTGAATCATCAATTCTTCGAACATCATGGGGGGGGCTGCCGCCCCCCCAACCCCCCCGCTACTTTTTAGACTTTTTGCAGAGATTTAATTGCACCCCCCAATATCAAATCATCAATCTTCTCGTGGGGGGGGCTGCCGCCCCCCGAGATTTATATTTTTTACAGGGATTGACATGCCCTCCTACTTGAATCATCATTTCTTGGACCCCGTCACACGATTTGTTGGTGATGCTAGGGATGTTGGTGGTGATGGACATGCTGGGGGTGAAAATATTTCGCGAGAACATGCTGTAAAATACGACACTTTACTGGCCCGGCAGAGATTGAATTGTGCACCCCTGTTTGAATCATCACTTTTTCGCGAGAAAATGCTGCAAAATACGACATTTTAGGTAATCTGTGTAGTCCGTGTATGTCTGTATGTATGCATTTCTTCGAACATCATAGGGGAAGCCACCCCCGCCAACCCCCCCGCTGCCTTTTAAATTCTATCACACCCTTTCTTGAATCATTGCACCCCTACTTGAATCACTACTTCTTCCGGGGGGCTGAAAATGCTGTAAAATACGACATTTTGCGGGCCCGGACGAAAAACGAAAAAAGAATCAAAAAAGAACACGAAAAAACATCCCAAAATAAATCCGCACCCTTTGTGTTTTCCCTTGTTGGTTTTGAAAGGAACTTGTCACTACTGGAAATATGTATATATATATATATGCACATGTTTTTTCCTCCAGGGGTCTTAACCGCATGGAAGTCATAGGTTGGTCAGGGTAGTTGGTAAGCCCAATAGGCAACGTGCAATCCTGGTACCTGGGTCCCGTAAGCCCAATAGTAGTCACTAGCGTGTTCCCCTCGGCCAGGGAATCGCTTGGCCAGCGTGGGCCTGGCATGTTCAGGTTTGTTGGTCCAAGCCAGGCCCCTCCGGGATTCCCTACGGTCTTCCCCCGGATGATCCGTGGTGCAGTGATTGGTTCTACTTTGGGCTGATCGGGAAGTCGGGCGAGTGCAGAACCATCCGTTGGATGATTTCCGCGAGTTGGTGAAGGAGGGCACGACAGGAAGCCAACAGGACGACATTGGCTGAGTTGTCCTTGCAGGAAGGCTTGTACACTTGCATCTGGGAATCCCATTTGCTCGTACTTTCTATGATTGTGGAATAAAGGAATCTCTGTAAACCGGATCAGCCCGATTAATAAAGGGCGGCAGCCAATCTTTTTCAGGGGTCAACATTGCCCTGGTCAGAATATTGTTCCCTGTTGGGCACTGTTGCTTGGGCTGTTCAACAACAGTCCTGACACCTGTCCCTGAGGTTACGAGGGGTCCCTTTTGTAGTGGTTTTCCAGAAGGCGGTTGCGTGGCTGATGAGTTTGATAATGAACATGGAAACAAAGGTAAGCAGTGCATACATACATACATACATACGTACGTACGTACGTACGTACATGCATACATATACATACGTACGTACGTACGTACGTACATGCATACATATACATACATACGTACGTACGTGCATGCATACATACATATGTACGCATGCATGCACATCTGTTTAAGCACACACACACATATACATATATATATATACACATATATATATACACACATATATATATACACATATGTATGTATCAGAGATACAGAGGGTTAAGGGTCCGTTGGCAGCATGTGTGGAGTTGGAATTTGGTTTGACCTCGGCTCCATGATGCCTGGGTCATTTGAAGCTTGTGTAAACTGTCGTATCCATGCCGTCGTGGTCTTCCCTTCTCGGCGGCAGAGTGGCATCCGCAAAACCGAGAGGCAACTTGCCCCTCCAGGTGAAGACGATCCCAGCAAAACCAATGCTTTGACGGGCAAACCAGCAGAATTCGAAAAAGGAAGCCACGCGAAATCCATTCACCAAGGCCGGGGAAACCTGGGCCAACTGACAGGGCTGGACACTTGAAATATCTTGAAATGCAGCCCCAAAGGCTTTTGGAGCTGCAGATTTGAAGCCCTGAGCAAAGCAACCAACAACCAGCCAGCAACAGCCATCGGCCTTCCATCAAAAAGCGGCTGTAGCTGGGGTTTATTTCAAAACGGGCGACTCCTCCTTGCTGTCTGGTTTGCCATTATGTTTCCTTCCACACGCATCTCACAACGGGATTCTGGAAAACTTGTGCCTCCAAAATCTTGCTGCATACGCGTTACGAACTGCTTTGTACAGAGTTTACATCACCACCTCTCGCCACCCCCATCGCCACCCCGTCACCACCCATCGCATGTTGCTCCTGTCGCTGGAGCCAAGAAACAGTTCCCAAGGTGCGCGCACCTGCGTCTCACGTCTCAGGCACCGACGAGGGCGCTCTGTCCAGCTGGGCGCTGTTCAACTGCGCCGCCTGCGTGGCGCGGCTTTGCAGGCTTGCCCGGGTGTTGCTTGAATGAACCGTTTTTTTCTTTTTCTTCTCTTTAATTTCCTGAATCATCCAGGTTTACATCCAGTTGGTTGGATGTGTTTTTTTTGTTTGTTTTTTTCTTTGACTTCCTGAATCATCCAGGTTTACATCCAGTTGGTTGGATGTTTTGTTTTTTTCTTTCTCTCTTTAATTTCCTGAATCATCCAGGTTTACATCCATTTGGTTGGAGTTGTTTTTTTCTTTTATATTTAATTTCCTGAATCATCCAGGTTTACATCCAGTTGGTTGGAGTTGTTTTTCTCTTTAACTTCCTGAATCATCCAGGTTTACATCCAGTTGGTTGGAGGTTGTTTGTTTCTTCTTTTTTCTTTTCTTTTTTCTCTGGGGTCATTCCATCCATTTCTCATTCCCTCTCGCAAGGATGAAAGGTAAGCTGAATTCCAGCAACGAAGGTAGCTCGCCAGGCCCTGAAAGCCCATTCCCGCAACACCGGAAGCGACGGAATTTTGGCAAACATCCACCGGATGTGGTCGCGTTTTTTCCGCTTCCCCTTTTGGCAATGCCCATGGGCCGAGGACGGATTGTTTTCAGGACATGCGAGGTTGCCTTTGGGCTTCGTTTGCCTGCTGATCGCTTGAGACAAGTCAGCATTTGAGCAAAGAAGGTTTGAGTTCGTGTTTGGTGGAGCGGTGCTTCATGGAAATTGCCCAGAAGCTTGCCAGACCAGAAGCGCTACCCAGCAGGAGGCGGCCGCGCCAGAGTAGCTGACGGACATTCACACCAGGAACTGGCAAGTTCCCTATCCAAAAAACATGTTCCGAAAATTCATGTCCACTTCCCTTGAGTCTTTGGAGATTTTATCCAAAAAGCATATATCAATAATTAGTCTTTGGAGTTTTGAATCTATGCCTTGCACTGCGCTGGGTCCCAGCGCGGCGGCAGGCGGGTGCTCTACGAGCAGGCGACGCTGGAGACACTGCCTGGGAGCCCAGAGCTGCTGGCAGCGCTGGCGCTGGAAGCCTGGCGCGGGCTCTCAGTTGCGACGGCGCGTCTTTGGGCAAAGGGATGGCACATGAGGCCTGGCGACACGGAGTGATTTTTGTTGTTTCTTTTGGTTGTGTTTGTTTTCTCCGTTGTTGTTTCTTTCGAGGGGGGGGGGGGTTAGCAATACATATAGATTTGTCTGTGGTGAAAGCCCAGTCAAATTTGCTGATTGAAGCATGGCGGATGTGCTTGAGGTGGTGTCCCATGCAGAAGAAGAATTCTGCCCTCTTTCTCACGGGTCTAGGGGCTAGCCTGGACCCTCGGCGAACAACTATTTCTTTCCGGTAATCATCGTTCCTGCTTTTTCACCGCAAGCGCAAAAAGGAGAAGCAAAAAGCCGCACCAACACGCGCGTTTAGACAGAACGTCTAACGCAAAAGCAGACAAATAATTGTTGAAGATCTACGTACTTGGAATTTCAAGTGGCCCGAAACAAGGGACGGAAGCAACCAGCATGATGCGGTCCGTGCCAAAGGTGCCGTCGTTTTTTTGTTCTTTTCTTCTTCTTCTTCTTCTTCTTTTTCTCGCGCCCAGGTGTGTGTTAGTGCTGATGGTTCACCTGGTGAGGCGGGGCCGGGCCATCCGGCCTTCGTTGGGATGGCTGCGTAAGCAATCTCTGACAGCGCCCTCGGGGCAGAGACACTCCGAACCACGAAGCGTGCATCTTCTAACCATGAAATACGTTGAATGGACAGAATCCATTTCGCACCACCTAAGAAACCCCGGAATGATGATTGCCCTGTAAAATGCCAACAAAGAATCGGTGTCCCATGGTTTCAAATTGGTGCAGGATTTCGTCCATCCACAGTACGTTGAATGTAGCCTTGAAAACCATTGAGTGTAGCCTTGTCTTCAACCTTAACCTTTTCCAAACAGGTATGAATCAATATGTCGCCTTGAAAAGGTGCCAGTGGCATGAGCTTTCACAGGCGGGGGTCGCTTTGATCCTGTTGCTTCCAGTGACTGCTTCAGCGAGTAAGCGCCTTGTTTTGTCACCTAGGATGCTGGTGATGGCACTAGTGGCTTGCGTGTGATAGATAGAGGTGCAGTTTGGCAGGGGACGATCTCTGGGGTGGTGTGGGAATCTCTTGCTTCCATGCTGCTGCGCGGTTGCAGGCACTGCCATACACACTTTCCTCCACTATTGCTCTTGTTCGGTGCTCTCATGATTCTAGAGAGGCATCCACTGGGACTCGGGACCCCTGTTACCTATAGTGTCCCAATTCCACAAAACAGTAGTGGAGCATGTTCAAGAGATGTCTTCAAACGAAGGCATCACATGCCCGGGGGGCATACGCAAGGCGGTGTGCAAGTTGCATTGCAGCCACTGCTGGACGACCTGCTCGCTTTTTCAGTTGGGAAACGCTTGTTCTTGACAAGAGCTAGAGGAATGAGTCGAACGGATTCCGGATGGGATTTGAAATGGACATTTGTCCATCGCTAGCTGTTCAAACTATGTGTCTCCGGCCAAATCATTTCCCCGATATGACTGAGAAACTCCAGGCCCTGCAGCTCGAATTGCCACAACCTCGGTGAAATCCGTGGAAGAACATCTCTGAAAACAAGCACCGTTTTTTTCCCGGGCGCCGTTCTAGGAGCTGTCTAAGCTGCAGGTGCCTTTTCTGCTTTGTAGAGCGTTCCCCTGGACCCCTCGCCACGGTGCACCTGCTGAGCCAGTCGGTGAGAGCCGGCAATGCGACCTACCTAGGGTCCGCTTGCCGGCATGTTCCAAGCGGGGATTGTCCTTGGAGCCGTGTCACAGGCTGCATCATCCTCACCTTCCGCACTTTCGGAAGCGATCTTTCCAACGTGTCACGCTTGGTTGATTCGAGGCTGAGCCTGACAGCGACGTTTCAATTG